GCGCAGTGGGCGCCGCCATCTTGTGCCCTCGGCCACTTATCCCCCGACAGAGCTGCCTGGGAGCTCCGCGGGAGCCGGCCTTCGCGGGGAACCTGCTGCCAATCCTGCGCCCAGACCGCCGCGTGTCCCCGAAACAGCAAAGCCCCTCAGCGTTCCGCACCGCCACAGCGGACGCCGCCATCTTGTACGGCAAACCCTTTCATTTTCGGGACCGGCCCGCTGACGTACCTCGCAAGGCGGGAGCCAACATAGGCGGCAGTCGCGCCCTCTGGCGGTGGAGCCTGAGCAGCGACAGCCGCTTTGACCCGCGGGGGATTCTGCTTCCGGGTCTCCTCGGGGGCGGGGCCCTGACGTGAACGCCGAGCTGGGCGCGGCTGGGGCGGCATCGGAGCATGCGCATTGGGATGGCGCGGGCTCGCGGCCGGGGGCGGCGCCTGCGTGGGCTGAGGGTCCCCGTGGTCTGTTCCTCCCGCGCCCGCGGGCCCGCGCCATTGTCACCGTTTACCGGTGAGAGAACGCGCCCCCACGCCCACCCTGCTGCCCCCTGATGGAGTGGGCTGGAGGTAAAATGGGGTGACGTTGCCTAAGCCGGGCAGTGTTGCGAGGGCCGAGTTTGGAGACGACAGTACCTGGCGCGTAACTGCCGTCCGCGTCGTGTCCCTTGGTAATACTGGTAACAGCCGCCACGTGCCGCGCGCACGTCGTCTGCTCGCGGCCCAGCCCTTCGAGGCGCTGGTACCCGCCCTTCCGAGTTGCAGGCGAGGCAGAGGAAGTGGACGGTCCAGGTCCCCGGGTCCCGGAACAGCTAGCAGAAGCGCCCATGCAGTTGGGGCGGGAGACTCTGATTTCTCCTGCTACACATTCTTCCTGTTCGGCGTGTGCAAAAAAGGTGGTGAAGGAACGGGCCCAGCCATCACAGTTCTCGCAGCCTCGTGGGACAGGCCCGTGGGGAGGGGAGAGGAGGGGGTGGGAGGGAGGGGGAAGGAGGACGGGCCGGCAGGAAGTACCACAGGGAATGGGCTAGAGAGGATGGAACAGCATCTTTGTCCCGCCGTCTGCACCAGACGAGAAGGAATGGCTTCCAGCCTGCAGAATGGGGCTGAGAGTAATAATAATTGTTACAACACAGGCAGCAGTTACCGTATCTGCTCTTAGAGGGTATTAATCCGGTCTGAGAAGTGGGGGCTGAACTTGGGAAACGTAGGTCCCTTATCCTTGGCAATCTGTTTACTTACCTATAAAACCAGGGTGGTGGGGATCCCTGAGGAGAGCGATTTGGTGTCCTGCACTGTCATTTGGTATGGCTTTTGATGGGACACTGTGCTGGCAAGGCTGGGGAAAACAGGCACTGTGAGCGTGTACATTTTTACAGCCTCATTAGAAACCAAGCTGGCAACATCTGTTAACAGAATTAATCCTTTGCATGAATCCTTTGGTCAAGCACTTCAAGGCCTCGGAAATTGTCTTACAGGTGTAATGCCCCTGTGCACAGACGCATGTACAAAAAGATAGAATCAAGCATTGTTTGAATAGCCAAAGCCTAGAAGCAATCGATAGGGAACTGGTCTATTTAAAAAATGAGACACATTCATGTGATGGAGTACAATGCAGCCTGTAAAAAGAGTAAGTCAGTGTTGTTATGGAATAAGTGCCAGGATTATACTGATCACATGTAATTATGATTGTGTTTGGCTGCAAAAAATAGAATACTCTTCTATTGTGGCTTAAATAGACAAGTGTTACTCTGTCTCCCTGCAGTAAGTAGTCCAAGGTTAGGCACAGCTGAGGCTTGTGTGCTATCAGGGTGAGACTCTTAAAATTTTTAAACTCTTTCTCATTGTCAATGATCATATATATGTATAAAACATACATGTTCAATTTAGTAAATTATTGTAACATGAATATTTATGTAACCAGTCCCTAAGTTAGGGGAGAGAATGTTGCCAACATCCCAGAAGCTCCCCCTTGAGCTACTTGACCCCTTGTGCTTGAAGGTCCCAAGTGGGTGTTCATCCCATCGTGGTGTACACAGCGGGACTCATGGCAGGGACGCCACTCAGGCCAGCAGCAAGCTGACAGCCAGTGGCTGGTCCTCCCTGGCCAGCTGCAAACAACCACAAGGTGGTAGCTTAGCCGTCAGAGCTGTTAAAAGTCAAGAGACAAGACACAAAAGTGAAGTAATTTTCCCAGGGCTGCTGGCCTCCATGTCAGGCCAGACGTTGTGGCCCCAGCTGTACCACACATCCATGTCGGAGATGACAAAGCAAAGGGACCCAGCCGGGGCTGTGATGTTTCTGAGAACGGCTGAAGGAAAGCTGGGGGCTGGGGCTGACATACCAGCCTCTGTGTGGTCCTCCTTGCTGCTCCGGTCTGCCCCTTGCCATAGCTGCAGATTTCTAGCTGGGACCGGGCCAAGCAGATGGCCACCCAGGCCTGATGAAGTCATTGAAGACACCACCTGTCCCCCACTATGCTGCTGGAGGCGGGCAGGGAGGAGACGATGTCACCAGGCACTGGCTGCTTATGATGAGAACCATGTAGTTGGCAGTGAGGATGCTCGCCCGGGAGATGGGCTGCTCTGCAAGGTGACACTGACCGGTTTGGAGGGCGTGACCTTGATCAGGCTGATGGTGAAGAATGACGCGGTCTCCGTGTGCCCCTTCACCAGGACGGCAGTGGGCACTGCCACCGGCTGGGTGGCCGGCCACCTGGCTCCCAGGGGCTGCACAGAACCCCCCTGAGCGGGGAGACGATGAAGTGGGGAAGCAGAGCAGGGGCAGTGGGTGCATGGGTCGGGACCTTGGCGCCGAGAGTGGGGAGGCCACTCCAGAGGGCCAGCTGCCTGGCAGATGGCTGCACGAGCACACCTGCCGAGCTCAACGCTGGGGGCATGTCCAGGCTATGTGCGAAGCAGACGGCAGTGGTTGCGGAGATGGCGCTGGGAAGCACGGAGCCCAGGTCCACCTAGAGGAAGCCAGACGGCGCCTCCTGACCCCTTCGCGGTGGCTGGCGATGGGTCTTCCCCAGGGGCGATGCCCTGGTACCACCTCGCTATCAGCCTGCTCATCGGGAACCTGCCTGAGGTTGGGCAGTGCCCGCAGGCAGCCCTGGATGTCTCAGGTGTCTGGCAGTCTTGTCTTTCTTGTAAGAAGGGGGCAGACTAGATGTCTTTGGAATTCACATTTCCAAGATCCGTGGTACCTGTATCCTAAGTAAGGAGTTGTAAGTTCTCCCTCATCACACCCTTGGGTGGGAGTCCAGGACCTAGAGAAGATACATTTCCGTCCTTGGCAAGGTTTGTTAAGCCAAGTGTGCAGGTGCACAAATGTTGTCTGGTTGTGGAAGAAATGAAATGAGGAAAACTCATCCTATTTTTCTGTGACTGTCCAATACTGGAATTGTCTAACATCGCCCCTAAATTTATGCGTGACATTCATGCTGGACAACACAAAAATTCCAGACAAACAGAAACATCGAGGTTTTGTGCCTTCATCTACACAATGTGCATGTATTGCTTTCTGTAGTTGTCCTTTAAATCAGAAGAGAAAAAAGAGCCACAAACAGAAAGTACGTTTATGTTTTCCTTCATACTTGCCGACTTGGTCATGGTGTGTAATTTTTTTTACACCTTGCTGGATGTGGTTTGCTAATATGTTAATAAGAATATTTGCATACATGTTCATGAAAGATTATTGGCCTGTAGTTCTCTTCTGATGGCTTTTCCTGGTTTTGGTGTCTGGGTAATGCTGGTCTCACAGAATGAGTTGGGAAGTGCTCCTTCCTCTTCTGTTTTTGGAAAAGCCTGAGATAGGTTGGTATTGATTCTTCAGTGTTCGGTAGAATTCCCCCTTGACGCCATCTGCCCCGGGCTTTTCATTTGTGGGTGGCGTCCACATCTTCCCTTGTTCCAGGACTGCTCAGATCGCGCGGTTCTTTAGCATGTAGGTAGTTTGTGCCTTTCTAAAGTTTAACTATTCCCTCTGGGTTACGTAGTTTGTTAACATACAGGTGGTCATAGTATTTCTTTTTGATCCTGTTCAATTTCTGTAAGCTCAACGACAATGTCCCCTATTTCATTCCTGGTTCTGCTAATTTGAGCCTTCTCTCTTTTTTTCTCATTCAATCCAGCTGTAGATTTGTCAGTTTTATTGATCTTTTCAAAGAACCAGCTTTGGTTTAGTGGGCTTTTCCCTGTTTTCTGTTCTCCATTCCACTAATTTCTGCTCTGATGTTTATTGCTTCCTCCCCTCTGCCTGCTTTCGGTTTAGTTTACTCTTCTTTTACTAGTGCCTTATGGTTATGGATTGAGATCATTCTTTTTTCTTATCATAGATAACTACTGTTACAAACTTTCATCTTAGCACTGCAATAGCTTCATCCCTTAAGTACCCATACGTTGTGCCTTCGTTTTCGTTCATCTGAAAGTATTTTCTGGTTTCTCTGAGATGGTTGGCATGTCTTCAGCCCTTTGGCTGTGTTGCCCCACCGCTCCCTGGCCTCCATTGCCCTGCTGCCAAGTTAGCCGTTGCTCTCACGGGAGCTCCTTTGTGTGTTACGGGTCCTTTGTCCTTTGACGCTTTCGAGGTTTTCCCTTTGTCTTTGACTTCCAGCATTTTTAATATAATGTGTCTGTTTGTGGACCTCTTTCTGTTTATCCCACTCGGGTTTTCTTGAGCTTCCTGGATGTGACAGTTACTGTTCATCAATACATCTGAGACGTATTCAGCAGTTATTCCCTGAACTATCTTTCCCGCTCCTCCTCCCCTCTCTCCTCGCTCTGCTCAGCTTACGTGTGCTGGTGTGCTCGATGGTGCCCCATATTTCTCTGGGGCTCTTTTCACTTATTTTTATTTTTAATCTCTCTGTTGTTTGGCCTCCTGCATAATCTCCACTGACCTGTCACACGTTTGTTTATTTTTTCTTCTGCCAGTTTAGACCCACTGTTGAGTCCGGCCAGCCGTTGGAATAATTCTTTTGGAATTGCCAGATCAAGTGCTTGTGTTTATTTTTCTACTGTGTTGTCTGTCTTTTTCTTGTTAATTTGTATTTTTCTATATATTTGGGGTAGGAGTTCCTCTGTTACATGTATTTCAATGGTCTTCTCTCAGTCTGTGGCTTGCTTTTCACTTAACAGTATGTTTTTTATTTTATTTTTTTATTTAAAAATTTGGGGGGGTTAGGTTTTTATTTATTTATTTATTTTTAATTTTTAATGGAGGTACTGAGGATTGAACCCAGGACCTCATGCATTTAAGCACGCGCTCTACCACTGAGCTCTACCCTTCTCCCCCTGCTTTTAAAAAAAATGTTATAATTTTGATTTGGGTTTGGGATTTACAGAGGAGTTGAGAAACTGGTAGAGTTCATTCCTGCTTGCTCTCAGGCTATCAGTCTGCACAGCTGCTAATTTGGCCCCTGTCATCTTTCACCCCATTTTCCCTCCTATGAATGTCTTATATAATAAGAACGTGGGTGTGGGCATAATTCTTCAAACGGTCTCAATAGTAAGTATCTTAGGCTTTGTGGGCCATACAGTTTCTTCTTTCATAGTGGGAAAGCAGCCATAAACCGTGTACAAATGAATGTGCGCACCTGCGTTCCAGTAAAACTTCATTTACGGAAACAGGTGGTTTGCCTGCAGGCCATAGTTTTCACACCCCTGCTCTATAGGAAAGGAATGTGCTCTCCTCTTCCCTTTCCTCTCTTCCTATTAGCTGGGATGTAGGCGTGGTGGGGGGAGCAGATGCACCCATCCTGGACATGAGCTGGAAGCTGTGTGTCAAAGATGGGAGAGTAATCACATGGAAGGAACTGGAGTTCCCAGTTCCCACAGGAGTCTTAGGTGAGAAATAAACATTCTTCTTATTTAACCCATTGTTGTTTTGGAACTTTTTAGCAGCAGTTCATACATATATATACGTGTGTATGTCTGAAAGATGCTGTACAGCAGAAATTGACACAACACTGTAAACTAACTATGTCAATAAAAATAGATAAACAAATAAATAAAAAGAGGTGTTTGACTGCCTTTCTTTCAGATTGATGTGGTGCCCATGCAACTCAAAACTCAAGAAAATGCTTCAGGAGGGAGTGAGTTAATGAATTAATGAACAGAATGTAAATGGCTTCAGTGTTTACGGAGGACTTTTTGGCAGTATTTTCTAAAATAAAAAGTAACAAACTGTTCACTCGTCATTGATCCTTCTCCAGGCCAGATGCAGTCTGTGGTCCCCCTTCCTGTCTTTGCATGGAGACGGAGGACACGGGTAGCAGCAGTTGCCTCCCAGGAGTGTCACTGGGTGGTCAGAGTGCAGAAGATCAAGACTAATTTGTCACTGTGGTGTCCAATCTCCAAAACACTCCCCAGTAATCACCACCTCCTGGCCCTCACAGCCTTGCATAGTCCGCTCCTGCCTTGTGCTGGGGTTGGTCTGTCGTCAGTAGACCATGGCAGCGATGATGGTATGTCGTTTCTGAGATTACAGATGACACTGGTTGCTGGCTCCCTCCCTCTGTTGCCTCCTGCCAACAGCCATGAGTGAGCGGTCAGCTGGGGCCATGGTCTCTGAACATTTGATGGCTTTAGAAGATCTGCTCCAAGGTCACGGTCTGAAATGCTGGGGTGGTTCAGGCATATCTTTGCTGTACAGTTGTCATTTGGTGAGAAAAAAATCAAATTGATTCATTCATTTGGGATCCGCTGGGTCTCCCTAGATTTGCAACTGACTGCTGCCAAAACAGATTCCCTGCACTGTGTTTCAATAATGACTCTTAGAGTGTTTGGCACTGTCCGTCCTGGCATTGTTTATGGGGTGTTGGAGATCAGACTTCTAGTCGCAGTTCTGCTTTTTTTTAAAGTGGCAGTACTGAGGATTGAACCCAAGACCACATGGATGCTAAGCACCCGCTCTCCAACTGACCTGTTTACCCCCGCCCCTCCCAGTTTTGCTCTTAAAATGGCTGCAAACCTTGGGGTCAGTTGCCCTCCCTGGACCTGGGTTTCATATTCAGAAAATAAGGATTGGACTGGGATCCCTAATGCATGCTTTTATCTATAAAAATCTGGGATTTTATTCAACAGCCTGGGTTAGTGGAATGAGCCCTAGTCTGGAGTCTTTCAAGGTTTCCAAACAACCTGACATTTGCTGGCTTGACTGTGAGTTTACTCACCTATACAATAGGGATAAATAACATCTACAGTGGAAAGCTCGTTTATTCACCCAGCCTGTGCCTGCTGGCCATCCCGTACCGCATGCTGCGCTCCTGGCATGAACAACGTAGGCAGTGTTGACTGGAATAAATGCACAGCCTTAAAGTTGAGAGTTCTGTTTTATTTGGGGGGATGACAGCCTCTCAGACCACCCTGAGGGATAGGGGAGGAGCTAGGATATATAGGAGTTTTACAACAAAGACCAGGTAGTTGAAACATTAAATGATTATTTGTTAACTGAAGAAAACCAGACATCTCAAGTTAAATAATTTAGTGCTTTTCTGCGTATGGGAGGGAGCAAACATTTGGGCTCACCAAATTCATTCCTTTGACAAGCACCTAGCTCTCTAGGGCCAGTATCCTGTTCTTTCTTGTTCTGAGTCCCCTCACAGTGCACCATTGTGAGTGGCTGCAGAGGCCAGGCTGCAGGTTTGTCTTCACTGAGGGGTGGCGGCCGTGGCTGACTTGATGGCTTCAGCATTATTTGTTTACTGATGAGGTTTGCAGTGTCTTTTGTTCACAACAGCATCCCTGCCCGCAGAGAGCATGCCGTCTGTATTAGTTCCTTACTGCTGCAATAACAAACTACCACAAACTCAGTGGCTTAAAGCAACACGAATTTATTATCTCTACAGTTTCCTAGAATAGAAGTCGGAAATGGGCCTCACTGGGGTAAAGTCAAGGTGCTTTCGGTTTGTCTGGTGTTTCTTGTGGTTGCACAGAGGTGATTGCATTTTCAGCAGTTCTGGGGCAACACCACAGGAGTGACGTGCCCTTCTGGGTGGGGTACGTGACGTCACTATGTTTTACAGGCGGTGACGTTAACCTTGATCCCTTGGTCAAGGTGGTGTCTGGCGGGATTCTCCAACGTCAGCTTACTACTTCCTACTTGGTAATCACTGAGTATTTCAGGGGGAGACTGTGCAGACAGCCTGTTTCTGCTGAAACTTCTGCCCTGGCCTTTACCTTCTCCTTTTAAGCTAAATTTGACCGTGTCAAGGAGTAGAAAGGCCAGTGGTCCTGCGGGGGAGACGCGGTGGGAAAGAGCAGTTGGCCGGGCTGGTTTCTGCGGGGTGAGGTCCGCGCGGCGCGCGCAGGCAGGCGCCCGGCGGGCAGCCCGTTGCC